TCGTGGCCTTTGCTTTGCTTGGTGCTTTTCTCTACACAGCCTGGCACGGAGACTCGGCAAAAGAGGTGGAGGTGAAGGACCTGGACGGTGTGGAAGTCAAGGAACTTGATGCCCTCGAGTTCGAAGACATCGATGAAGAAGATTGGCCAGAAATCAGGGGTGATATCAAAGAAGCGCAATACAAACCAGCGGCATGCACTGCAAGACTCACTTTCGCCTCTGCATGGAGCGTGTCACTTGGGCTCAAGATCAGGGCGGCATTGCAGGAATGCAACAAAAGAAACTACAGGGGTGACCCCACACCTTTCCGTCGCCTTCATGAAGCTCATCAATTGCACTCATTGCCGGCATTGCCACAGGAGGCGTCCGTCCACTACCCGGCTTCTTCATGGAGGCAGTATAAGCGCTCTAAGCAGGTTGACGGGGCTGTGCATGAGGCTGATGGAGACGGAGACCTTGACGGCCTAGCGGATCAATCGGCATACAACCTGACCGCTGGAACTTTGCACCTAAAGACTCTCTTCGCGTTTGGCAAGCACTGGACCATGGAGGGCTGGCATTATATGAAGGACACCGCAATTAGTTTGCCAGGGCTCAGGTGTTAAAAGATTAGCCAGGACGCTTGGTGTCCGCCGTCATCTTGGTAGTCGGCGAGTAGGATTCAGGGTTTCATTTCCTGATGCACTATTAAGGAGATCTCGGCAAAGTTTGGCGGTAGGCGATGGCATGGTCCACTATCTAAATGATGATCTTCTTCATGATGTTGTTTAGTAGAAATTCTATGAGTAGCGTGGTAAGGTTCTCCACGAAGGTAAACTTAAGGGCGTCCTTTTGGGGGCACTCGTTTCTCGGACCAGGGCCCAAGTTGCAATTTTGGCTTTACTGGCTCGTCTTCAATGGTCTTCAGAAGCGTCATGCCTTTGGTTAGCTAGGAATGAAGGAGTGGATTATAGCAGTCCCTATATAACCCATTATGGTAGTTTCCATTTTCTTTTCCATTCCTTCATTCCCAGCTAAATAAAGGCCAGTGTTTAGGCCCCTCCAAGATTGACGACGTCATCTGGCTAAGTCAAGTCCGTTCCTGTGAAGTTGTGGGGCTTCGTCTTAGGGTTTAGGGTTAAGGGATTAGGGTACCAGCCCAAAGAGAGGCCCTTGCAAGTCTGGCGCAAGTTGCTGCGCGTGGATTCTGTATGAGATAGACTCACGGGATAGGTCTGGGTCGGATCTAGGCCAGAGTCCAGACATTTCAAGCCACAGGGTCATCACCCTGGTTGCCTTTGGGACACACGGCGTGAGGAAGGCGCTGCTGGTCTCAGGGCATGCTTCTGGGTTGCTTTTAAGGAGCTTAAATCAAGTCACCGGAATGGGGATATATAGTAATGAATATGGTGCCCATAATATAGTAACTTAATTTAAGTCCCTTAACAGTAACCCAGGCTTTTGCGATGGCCGTCTTGCAATCGAAGCCTTCGGGCCATCCGAATCCTCCAGATCCGCTCCGGTTCGCGTCGTTGTCGCTGATGACCAAGTGCCCCTGTCCAAATGGGTACATCTCGCTGTGCAGCGCAGCGGCCCCGATCTGGAATTCTTCGTGGATGGGAACCCGGGCGGCAAGGTTCGGGACTTAAATCATCCTAAATCTTTTCTGGCCTCTTTGCTTAAGCTGACATCCCTTTTAAAGTGAAACCCTGGTGTAAAAAACTGCTACCGGCTAGGTATGGTACCCCTGATTTCTTGGCCTCTCCTTCCGCGTTCAGACCCCCATTTTCCCGCTGTTCCGGTTGAGTGCCCATCGCTTCTTAGCAGTAACCCCGATCACGCGGAAGTTCTGCCGTAGCTTTGGTAAAGCACGCTAGACCCTAAATCGCACCTGTTCTTCTGTCTGGTAGACCTCCAGCAGTGTGAGACCCCTAAGGCCCCTAAGTCACTAAGAGCTCCCTAAGACCACGCTGAGAGCCAAGAGTAATTACCTTAGCGCTTCTTAGTAGGGAATAAAGGAAGTGTGAGCCCTGCATAGGGTTCAGGTTATGGTTCCCATAGTGTATATACATATATGCCCTATTACAATGGGCGCATCAACTTCGTACTTTTTTGCATGTCTTTTTTCCGGCATTGCTCCTGCGTCCTACGTCTCTTAACTACATCTTTGTGGACAAGGGTCTCGCGGTAGTCAATACCCTAAGGCCTAATGTTCTCCATAAATCACGCCCCAAAGTAGACCGTCCCATCCTTGACGCCCGGAAGGTGAAGGTTCCGGAGGAGCTCACAGAGGACTGGGTCTTTGTTTAGGAACTCAAGTTACTGTAATGGGCATAGGGTTTAGGGTCCAGGGTTGCTATAATGGAGACATATATGTATCTATATATGGTAGAGAATCGGGCTTCCTTCCTATGGTAACTGAAATTAAGTTTCTTAACCCTAAACTCTAAACTCCACATCCCCATTATTTTAACTTAAATTAAGTTCCTCAGCCCTCAACTCGAAATCCTAGACCCTAAACCCTAAACTGTAAGCCCTAAACCCTATATCCCAATTATGGTAACTCAAATTAAATAAGTTCCTTAATAAAGACCCCGAGGAGCTTCTTCCCCAATCCAGAATGCGACTCGGTGGCTCTGTGGACGAGGACCCGGAGCGCAAGTACCGGGGCATGTCAAGCAATGTTCGGCTCACTACCAACGCGGTCTACACCTCCGGGCATCTGGGTTGCTATTAAGGAATTTCATGTAAGTTACCATTTTTGGGAAACCCTACTATTTACTGTATATATATATATATACCCATTCTGGTTTCTTACATTCCCTTCCTTAAGCCCTTAACCCCCAAACCCCATACCCTCAACCGTAAACTCCCAATTATGGTAACTTAAACTAAGTTCCTGAACAGCAACCCAGGCATGTCTTCCAGCCAGACCCGAACCTCGATCAGCTGATGAAGACGCGGTTCCTCTTGAAGGACATTATGGTCCTAGGTTCCCTATATCGTAGAAAATAGAAACCTAAATACCTACCAACATTATCCCCAATAGTGTAGAATCAAATGGAAAAGGAAATGGAAACTGGGTTTATAGAGGGTTTAGAGGAAGAATTGAAGGACCACTTTGTGGACATGGTGACCAAGCGGCAAATGAGCAAGAGCGGCAGGGTCACCACGAAGTATGACCCCGACGTCCTCATGGAAGGCTGGAGAGCAGAAGGCTTCTTGGATGATGACCGCAACGTCACACCCCTTGCAAACAAGTCGAAGTTGAAAGTGCTTCGGCGGCTTTTTCCATTTGATGACCCAATCTATGACACGGAGTTCAAGGGAGCCTTTTGTGCCCGGGTCATCTTGCAGATCATCAAGGAGGTCTTCACCATCCAGGACAAGTTGATGGATGCGGTCCCCATGTGCGACCCCACCGCCACAAGCCCCCAGTGCTACAAGGCGGCATCGTGGGTGGTCCGGGGTGCCGCCAGCATGGCGAGGTATTGCGCTGAGCTGCAGCCGAGATGTGAGAAAACCGACTCCGAGGAATTCCGTGGGGATTTCCGGTGCAGCGAGCGGCTGGAGGGCCTCGCCTGGTCCTTGGACAGTTTCTCCTCGTCCATCTCGAAGGCTCAGCGCATCTGCCAGGATGATAACCTCAAGAGCCCCTTGCTGGACCTCGGAGCTTGCGTAGGAGAGGCCATGTCAGCCACGGGCTACATGTTTGCCAGCGCCCTTCTCTTGGAATCAGCTCTAGGTTTTGACTGCCCGGGAAATACCAACGATGACAATGACGACAATGACAATGGCAACGGGTTTCAGTTTGTCCCAGAGTCGCAGCGCCTCACCTGTGCAAGAGACTGGATTGCTGTTCAGGAACTTAATTTAAGTTACCAGAATGGGTATATATGGTACGTAATAGGGTTTCCCCAGTATAGCAACTTAAAAGTTATCATAATGGGTATTATGTATATGTGTATAGTAAATAATGGAGTGCCCCCAATATGGTAACTCAATTTAAGTTACCAGAATGGGTATATGTGGAAAATGATAAGGTTTCCCTCATATAGCAATTTAAAAGTTATCATAATGGATATAATACACACATATATATATAGAAAATAGTAGAGTTCCCCCCAGTATGGTAACTTTAAGTTTATATAGTAAATAATGGGGTATTCCCAACATGGTAACGTAAATTAAGTTCCTTAACAGCAACCCAGGAGACTCAACGGCCATTTTTCGCACCACCTTCCTTGCAGGATCCAAGGCTGTCAGGGCCGCAGGCCACTGCGGAGGCACCGACACGTTGTGCCTGTGGTCAAATTCGGAAATATTCTTTTGGGGTTAGATAGGTATTGGGTTCAGGCTTTAGGGTCCTGCAGTCTCCTTGGGCATTCTTTTTCCATTTTCTTATAGTATAAGCTTACGGAATTATTCTCTAGGGGCTTTAGGAGGGACCCTTAATGGGGACTTCTGATTCTTCATTTTCTTAGAGTATAACCTTACGGAAATATTCAAGAGTCTAGAGAGATTAAACCCTAAACCCTTTTCATCCTTGAGCCCTAAACCAGGTGCGGCCGGAGCATCCTGCGGAGTGCTGCTGCGCTTTCTGGCGTCGCGGAGAATGGCGTCTTCCTGCGCGTCTGGTGTCATGAAACTTACAGGCGGTTAGTAGCTTTAGCATTTAGGGGTTAGGGGTTCGGATTTAGGGTTAGAGTTAAGGGGTTAGAATTTAGGATGTAGGGTTTAGGATTGATAAATTGTACGGGGTCATATAGGGATTATGTTCCCATATTCCCTACTTAACCACTCGTAAGGAAAAGACGAAATGCTGCCAACTGAATCCCGACACCCTGAAAGTGGAGTGCGAGTGCTCGAAGAAGGATCTCATCGAGCTCGCACGCAAGGATGCCAATGACCAGAAGCAGTGTCTTACTTGCGGTTAGTGCGGAATATGGGAATACAATCCCGATGCAACATACCCTTAACCCTAAATCCCTAAACCCTAAACCCTTGTGAGCGATGTGCGTGTCTAAACCCCTAAATCCCTAAATCCTTAAACCCCTAAACTTCAAACTTATTCCCTACCAACCACACCTGAGGTGTGCCAGGTTTGGGGGATCCACCGTGAAGCTCATCGGTTCCAGGGTCCTTGTTAAGGGTTTAGGGTTTAGGGTTTACCATAATTGGGGCTAAGGAACTTAATGTAAGTTACCAGAACAAGCAAACCCTACTACTTAATATATATATATATGTATAATATTTACCCCTTATGATAATGTAAGTTCCTTAACAAAGACCCAGGTTCAGCAGCTCTAGCGGCTACGGAAGCAGAAGCCCAGTGCAAGTTTTCCAGGTCTTCGGCGACTTACTGATTGTTGGTAGGGAATAAGTTTTACGGTGTAGGGAATAAGGGAAGCTATCATATGGTGGTTATATACGGATTGTATAGGGATTATACGGGGATTATATAGGGGTTATGTAGGGAGTATGTAGGGGTTGTTTTCCCATATTCTCTGTTAACAAGCAGTAAGGAGAGTTCTTGTCAAACCATGGTGCCCGCGGCCGTCGCTGGCTTGGGCTTCTTCATTGAGAACACAGCTCGCATAACCCGCGATTGCCCCCCAAAGCCAACACCGCTCGACCCCGAGGAGATTAAGAAAAACGTGATCCTGGGCCCGGCAAGGCCCCAACAGTGGTATCAGTGTGGCCAGAACACGAAGCGTCTTGGTGTGTCCTCAGATGTGATTGCCCGGGGCATCGCGGGCGCCGTGGTAAACTGCCCTTTCGGCGACCTTCTCAGAGTCACCAGCCCGGTCAAGTCACCGAGGCGATTCTTCACCCCCTGAGCGCATGAGGCTCACGCATGGAGGAACATCATGAGGCCAACACAACAAATTTGCGGCACAGCCGCAAGCAGCTAGAGGTTTCGTTTTTTACTGTTAGAGCTGCAGAGGGCATGTTGTGGACCGCCAACCGCTTCTTGTGACCATCTGTATCGAAGAGCTGTAGTGTGTATCAGCAGAGATCCAGAATCAGGGTCTCACAGACAGGAAGCCCAGGAGGCTGTCTGTGAGTCAACCAAGTATACAGGTCGGTCTTTCCTGTGGATTAATTTGCGAAAGCCCTGCGCAGCGTGCATGTAATTGCCAGCAGCCAGCACACAACGTGTTCGCATGAGGAACATCAAGAGGCCAACCAATTAGCGAGCGGCACAGCCGCAAGCAGCTGGAGGCTTCGCTTTTAACGTTAGAGCTG